ATGAAAGGGAATTAGTATTTGGAAGAATTGAAATGAAAGGGAATTAGTATTTGGAAGAATTGAGATGAAAGGGAATTAGTATTTGGAAGAATTGAGATGAAAGGGAATTAGTATTTGGAAGAATTGGAATGAAAGGCAATTAGTATTTGGAAGAATTGAAATGAAAGGGAATTAGTATTTGGAAGAATTGAGATGAAAGGGAATTAGTATTTGGAAGAATTGAGATGAAAGGGAATTAGTATTTGGAAGAATTGGAATGAAAGGGAATTAGTATTTGGAAGAATTGAAATGAAAGGGAATTAGTATTTGGAAGAATTGAGATGAAAGGGAATTAGTATTTGGAAGAATTGGAATGAAAGGGAATTAGTCTTTGGCAAGGAGGCCAGAGGATGGGGTTGACTAATAGGGGGGGGTACCCCACTATTAGACGGGGGTAGGGGGTAGCCTTTCTGAGCTTCTCAAATTGAAGATTTTGATAGAGTTTTAATAAGGGAAAATAAAAGAATTTTCCTAGAGAGTTTTTGGAAATTCTAGGAAAACTGTTTCTTTGGGAGAGCATTGGTAATCAATCAGAATGGCAAAACATAAAACAAAACTAATTAAACACATATATATTGGAATAATTATATTTTTCCTGGGGGGACAGGGGGTAGACTAATAGGGGGGGGTTTCAGCCAAGCAAAATTTTTATTAGAGGGTGGTGACTGTGGAAATTGGTAGTTCAAATTAGTTTATTATTGGGGCCTGAACGCTGGGTAGACTAATAGGGGGGGGGTTGGTTAATCCTATGTTGACATTAACTGGACTCATCTCAACAAAAAGGGTGCTTGAATTGGCGGAATCCCCAGGCTGGCGCCTCTTGCGTGCTTTGCTTCAGTTCCACACGCCCCGAGGATTCAGCTGTGGACACCCACGGGCGCGCGCGGCCGAATTACATGACTCAGGCGGTTTCGGTCGGATGTGTGAAGTGGGTGTGTGTGTTTTGATATCTGGAACCCCAGTCCCAACCAGAAAGAAATGGATGTTTTCCCAGTCCCAACCATTTTCGTAAAGGATTTGAAGCAAGCCTATATTGGAACATATTGGAACAACCAGACTTGTTTCTGGTTGGGACTGGGGTTGCAGGTAGTTCCCATGTGCTCAGATGATTTTGCTTGTTCCACACACTCTTGAGTTCAACATGTGTCTCATATCATGATCGTTGAAGGGTTTGGAGGGATAAGTAGGGTATACGACCCCCAGTCGGGGTGCTTCATGGACATCCCGAATCACCTCGTGTAGGACTGTTTGCCATCGAGTCTTCAATCTGAGGGCGAACCAGGTCGGCAGCCGGGCTCCAGGCACAGCTTTGGACGCCCTGGTTGGTCCAAAGAGTGTGGTACAATCTGGTGAGTCTTTCACGGACCCTGAAAACCACTGGTTGGTGGAGGAAACCCATCTTCTAGGACCTTTTCTTGTCAGGGTACATACTATATTTCTTGTCAGGGTATAACCAATGGATCAAAGCTTACAGAAGTTCGACCAGGCGCCACAGCTTGCGAGGGCCCCACAAGCGTTGTTCTTTTCAACTGAGTGATGATGAGGATTTGGCCCTTCACTTCACCCGTCCCGTCCCAAGTAGCGACTGACCCGACCGTGTGGTCCGCAACTGGGTCCACTGAGCGGGAGATCGTCCAGTGATTCAGTGGATGCAGCGAACTTCTGGGAGGATTGGTTTCAACCCTACCCCGAGTCAACATGAACAAGTGGAAAATGGTGGAAAGTTCGCTTCACCTTCAGCTCGAGGCTCAAGAGGACTTCAGGTTTTTCGACTTTTCCACTTCGAGATCAGACTTCTCATCCTTTGCCACGTGGTTCGCCCCACGCAACTCACTCCGCAGACCTCGTCGCTCCGCTCTCGGACCAGACCTACTTGGAGACGGACGTGGGCAGCAACTTCCTGACGGCGCCCAACGGCGGACGTACCCGCCGCCTGGCCGGTCGAGTCGGTCGATTGGAGGTTGGAGACGGAGGATTTCATGGTGCGTGCTGTTTCCAAGTGGCACTTGGAATGATGAAGCGAGGATGTTCATAGACCAACTGGTTCCATGACTTCTAGGAAACTAGCCGAACAGTTGAACACCCATCACAGAGTCAATGGTCCTGCATCACTGCTGCATCACTTCTCATGAACGATTAGTACATATTAGTACTAATCAAGTATAGACTAGTATAGTATATATTAGTGTTTTTGGAATTACATTTTCTACTTTTTCCACCAACCCCAAGCCAATGAAACTTTAGGAGGATTCACCAAACCTGGACTCGTTGGTAGTCCACCATGCCATACACTCCACCACAGCTGCGCACATGCGAATCATACATGACATGACCTATCCACAGGACGGGTAGAGACGTAGCGTTGCATAAAGAGCAGGGCAAACACGTGAGGCCATGGCGCTCCACGACTCCTGTGGGTCAAAATAGAGAGACACTGAGGCAGTCCTTTTGAACACAGCAAAGCACCCCAAGCTGTTTACTCATGCACTGTCCTGTGGCTTCAGTCTCTAGCGTTCTGCGTTGGCGACTCGACTCAGCGTGGCAAATGCTCTAACGACGCGGCGGCATGCGCGACGTGGGCGACGCTGAGGATATGTATGGTTGAAGGATCTGACGCCCCCCACCATGATCTTCGTGTCTGCGGAGGCCCACCTCGACCGGACACGGCGAGCACACGAGCTTGGGTCGGGTGCACCCGGGTAGCCCGTGGGGCCCGGAGAATGTCAACGGACACATCCTAATACCCTTCCGGCGACCGAAAACAAACAACATATTTGGAAGGCGAAGGGTGGGGCGCCCGATGCTTGGAAGGGTACGGTATGGCTGACCCACATTTGCTGATTTTAGGTGCTTCAACCAGATGTTGGAGAAGGGACCTGCAAATACTGGGATAGGGTGCTGATGTAGTCCACATGTTCAGACACCGTGAAGGTGCTGTCGTTCACCTTGTGAAGGATTCTCAGAGGTGAAGGAACACCTACCCAGGAAAAGTATGAAACAGATTGAACAAATGGATAACCTGAAAAGCTGTTTTGGTACCGGCAACCAACCACCCTACAAGAACCGATTCACACTGCTTTTCCTGGGAAAACTGAGGGAGTCAGCCGTCAGCCCATTCGACACTTGGAGGCTCAGTCTCTAACCATTTGTTGGGAGGAAAAGGAGACTCGAAATCATTCACGGTGCACCTTTGCACCAAGTCATAGGCAAGCGATGGCAGTCGTTCTGATTGGGTTATATTGGGTTGGTGGTCAAAAGATTGCTGGGTTTACCGGATTACTGATGTCGTGCGGGACTTCCCGTGAGTTCTCCGAGGGGATTCATGGGGAACAACCAATCCCAGAAGTCCAGTCTGATTCAGTAAAACCTGGTCAAACTTAGGATTCCTTTAATAAGTAGTGTTTTTTGTATGACAGACTCCAGTTAACCCTACAGGTCATTGGCCTGTAGGGTTTGATTGGTTGCTCCGATCTAAGTTGTTGAATAGTTAAATCACCGTCGTGGACGAGAAGTGTGATCATTTCTATATGGGCGCTTGAACTAGACAATCAACTGATGACTCTTTTGATTCCACTCCAAGATGACTCTCAGTATCCCAATCCTGTCAGCTCATTTGGGGTCTTCATCCGGTTGATTATCCATCTGTGAAAACACCCACTCATCATCCCATGCCTGGCCATCCTTCATCTTCAGACCAGTGCGGTCTCGACCAAACTTCCAGACTTGTTCACGAGGCGCTCACGGACAGTAAGCTGCAGATCACGCTGCAATTGGACGAGACCGGGGGTCTCAGTTCGCGAGTGGGAGATGGAAGTCCCATCAGCCGCATCCCAAAGATCCTGTGCATGTTGCATCTGTTTTTCTTCATAGATTAAAAATAACTATCTTCTCAAAGGAACTTCCCCTCCAGTTGACTGGAGTCTCAGTTTGGATCTTGGAATGTCAGTAGTTTCTTTTGAGAGTGGCAGGCTGTGAGAGTGCACTTTTTTGCTATTTTTTGAATTCCATTAAGTCATTTGACATGTATAGTTTTGTGGCTTATCAGCATCTATACAGTGTCCAGTTGCCTTTGAGTCTGGCCCTCTCGTGATGGCAGAAATAGAAGGCGAGAGTTTGGCAAGACAATTGGGTGTGACCAGGGTACCTTTTACTGCAAAAGCTAAAATTTTCTTTAGATGAATGTATAGCCTGTATAGCAAAGCTTTGGTATAATCACTATAGGGTCATATAAGTTTTTTCAATATAATATTGTATGTTTAGCAATCTTAGGATGGAGTCATCACCCTCGATGAGGCAGTGGCACACATTGCAGGAAACAAACTTCAAGGGCCAGAGACCAAACCTATCAGAACATCCAGGGAGGTTGGTGAGGTTGAGGTGGGAGATCTACCCTTGCGCATCTTAGAAGCAGAATGGACTAAACTCGAACAGTTCTTTGATGTGATCTTTGACCACAAGCTCCCGGGTGCAGAGGATGTGTTTGATCTACAAACATTGTGCCCAAGGTGACTATAAAAACCTACCAGCACCCTTTTGTTTGAAAAGTGAACTGCCAGTACCGTACTTGATGAAAATCATCATTGTCCCCACCACGACCCCTGAGAATGGAGACCCTGAAGCACAGTATGTCAATATCATCAAGCACATCTACCTGCACAAAAACAAGCTGCCAGTGAAAATGTGTATGGATGCGTGCACAGTAGCGCACAGGTGGGACTATGGGCGGCATTTCAGGGTGGGTCTATTGGCTATGAACTATATGCTTGACCTCATGGGTGGCATGCAGATTCGGCATTGGGTAGTTCAACCAAAGTTCACCAAGAAACAAACTATGGACAATGCAGCCCGCAGCGCAGGGTACCAATTCATCCGGGACAAAGGCCCCAAATCAAACAATAGAAATCAATTCATGGAGTGGACAGATGAGCAAATCCACACAACAGGCAGCCCCATTGAAAATTGGAACGAAGGGAAGGTCGTCACTGCCTTGCAGAATTACATGAGAGGCAGACAAAATGCAAAGACCTTAGAGTATTGGCCTTTCACCTTCAAGAGCTTCAAAGCATGGTTTTTCAACGAAATTTTGGTCCTGATTTGAGTTCTGAACCCTCATAAACATGAGTGGTACCCTGGTTACTTTTGGCTCAAGTAAATAGGAGCGTTGCTAATTTCTGTTCATGGTAGCGGAGCGCTCGGTTGCGACTCCGGTAGATGTTCACCCTTTGGGATACCCTTCGGACTCGTTTGTGCCAGCGAAGGGATCGTGCTGCTGTGAGGGTATACTGAGGTTGTGGCGCCGGTTGATTAATCGGCTGTTCAGGATTCGGAGGCTTCAACGCATCTTCGGATACCTGGGACATCATCTTCAAGACCTGGTTGCCAGTCAGGCATTCAGGCAACGGCTGTTGAATTCTAGGTTGACTTGACCGGGAGCAGCTGATCAGTAATGGCCACCCTCGAGCAGATCGCGGCCCAGGTTGTAACCTTGAGGCAGGAGTTGAATGAGAGTCGAAGGAGAGAAGAGGACTTGAACAACAGGCTTCAGGCGGTTCAGAGTACAGGGGCTATGCAGGCAGCTTTGCAGGAGATGGTCAGCACGCAGAAGGCCATCCTGGAAGCGTCCAAGAGGCCAGATAAGAAGTTGACTCTGGTGGACAACGTTTGGCAAAGCCAAGCAACTTTGATGGCAACTCGGATTTCCTCCAGTGGAAGATCCGGTTGGAAGCTTTTGTTGAGTCCGTTCACGGTGACTTCGGCCAAGCGATGGCTTGGGCAGAAGACGAAACGGATCCAATCAGCAACGCATCCATGAATGCCGAGTTTGGTGAGAGTACTCCGGCACAGGAGACAAAACCAGACCTGGAATCAAAAGATGCACAACTTTACGCTGTTCTCCAAACCCTTTGCGAGAAAGAGGCATTCACGCTCGTGAGAAGCGCAGGCAAGAGTAAAGGCTTAGAAGCTTGGAGGCGATTGTGCAAGCGGTTTAGATCCTTCGACTGGAGGTCGTCGGAGGGCACTGCTTCGTTCGGTGTTGAGTCCGAACCGTTGCAACAAAGTTAAAGAGTTGAGCGCAGCTGTCGAGAACTGGGAGGACCAGGTTCGACAATACGAGAATCGGCGAAAGGCTGATGGCTCGAGACCAACTTTGGATGAGGACATTAAGATCTCCATCTTGCAGTCTATTTGTCCGGTTGAGGTTAAAACGACATCTCCAACTCAACCAAGCACGAATTGCAGACTATCTTGAAGTCCGGAAGGAACTCTCCACGTACTTGGAGACGACTGGACTGAAGCTCAAGTCCGGTGGTGGTCATTCCAGTTCGGATTACAATGGGCCACAGCCCATGGACATAGGCGCACTTGCAGGCGGAGACAAGAAGAAGAATGCCACATGTCACAACTGTGGTAAGCTCGGACACTACAAATCCGAGTGTTGGGCTCCCGGCGGAGGTAAAGCGAACTTAAGGGACTCCTAAAGGTAAAGGACCGAAGGGCAGTCCGCCCTCCGGACCAAAAGGTTCAAAAGGTTTTTTTGAAAGGTAAAGGAGGAAGCAAAGGAGGAGGCAAGAAAGGAGGAAAGAAAGGAAGTGGCTGAAATATCCTGGGAAGTGGGGCGTCGCCGGACTCGCTCGTCGCGTTGAGGTGTTGACCCCATTTTCACCATGGAACACGGTTCGCGCGTGGGATTTGTGTCGCACTAGACGTCAATCCTGGCTTACTTTGAAACAATCAAGGATACATCAATGAACAAGCATGATCGGTGCACCGATGTGCGGCACACATGAGACACGGGGGTGACTGAGACATAGTCGACAGTCACATATGTTGTTGTCCAATCGTATCCAATGTTTGTTGCTTTGTTTTGTCAAGAGCAGCCACCAGGAAAAGAGAGAGAGAGAAAGAATAAAACAAATGCAAGAACAAACCACGCATATCGCCAGGTTAAACATATCAACATAAACATTCACTGGCATAACTTCAGCTCGTTTGGGGTACAACAGTTGCACGCACTTGCCTAGCCAAACAGCCAAAACAGTCAGTGTAAGTCAAAACTTTTGAAACGACACGTGCGTTGACTGAAAAAACTCTGCGCACTTGACATTCCAAAACAAAAGACACAGTTGCTGCACCCCCCCGCAAATCAGTTTATGATTTAGCTGTGGTCGGACATATTCCATCAACATTATAGTGCTCAAATAGATTAACAGCAGTGTCCAATACATTTTTAGTGGGGATTTTATTTTTCTATCTATTTGGGGGTCCGGTCTTGAGGTTTTCATGTTGTTCACCCCACGAAGCCTGGCTTCGGTGTTCACATCCACGAAGAAACATCACGAGGCCTGGTACTGTGTGGTGCCAACCTGCGATGCCGACCGCGGATCCCTTACTGGATGTGAATGACCTGGATGTCGGGGAACCCGAGCAAGACTTGGATGTCATTTTTAGTTGGGTTTTCGGGTTTTGGAATCGTTTGCAGCGATTTGAAAAAAACAACAGGTAAAGTTCAGCAAGTCAGTTGCATTGAGGGGAGGCGAAGTGTTCGTGTGTGGAGAGAGGGGAAGGGTAGTATGTGGCCATGAATCATAGATAATCATAGCCTTTGGGCCGGTGATATAGACATATATTCTAGAGGAAGACACCATGAACATAGCAGAGTGTGTTTGCTGCGCAGACGGAAATGGTTGGGTTATGTTGAATTTAAAAGTTCAATGGTCCACGTCTAGACCAATGCCATATGCTCGGATCCTGCCAATGGCTAAACCTGACCAACCACTTACAGGCTTTCTCAGTAGGAATGATTCCCTGTATCCGGCATATGGGCAGCTCACGCGCCGTATGGCAGTGTGTCTCCCCTAAATTTGGGTAATTACCGTCGCATTCTCCAGTGGATTGCTGCGCTTTGACGACGAGCAGGACGAGGTCCATACTGACACTGTTCAGAAGGGCCAGGTCACCTTAGAGAAAAGTGCTAATTTCTGATACAGGGTGTCTTCCTAAAGGTTAAACCTTGACCAGAATAGAAAAGAACTGGGATACCTGGTCAATCTTCCCTATGGTCAAATCCCCGCAACTGGTGAATATATATATATATATATATGTTGTTGTTCCCCAGGTGTCGAGTGTCGAATCAGCAAATCAACGAGAATGTGCTTTGACTGGATGCCTGGGTGCTCACGTCCACCTCGGGTTTTTTTCTTCGCTTCTCACGTCAACAACAGCACCGTTCTGGTGAGACTCCTGGCTGGCAGAGACTCCTTGGCTCAGGGCAGAGTCCCCCCCAAAGACAGCATGGACTGTAGCAGTAGCAACCGATGCCCTGACACTCCATGGGACTGGAATATATGACTACATGGATCATCATGGATCCCTTGGAAAACCACTCCACTATACTTCAACTGATCACTATACTCCCTGGAATATATACCACCCCACTATAGGTCGTGTTTGAAGATGGCAGATAGTACTCCATGTACTCGAACTGATCTAACTGGTGATCATTCGCCACTGACTGGATCTGGCGAGGAGCTGTGGTCCCTGGTCACTGGTTCTTTTGGCTTAAGGGAGGTGAAAACACCATCCTGTCGATGTGTTGCATGCAATAAAATCCCTAAGTACTAAGGATCCTACAAAAAAACTCGCCATAGGGGTACACAAACAGCCTCCCAAAAAGGGGGGCTTCTACTCACCCTCAACATCCTGTCTTATTTGAGGGTGCGGATTAAAACAATTGCGCAACAAACAGACTGGGAACCCTGTCGACAAGTGGGCGCGGGCCCGAACCTGGCCAGCGTTCCGCAGTCTGAGTCTGAGGCCTCCAACTACATCACCAAGATCAAAACAGCGCGCGGAAGCCCGAAAACACCGGCCGGAAGTCGCTAAGTTCTGCCCACCGGCGAAGAAATGAGATGCTTTTTGGACGTGCCTCGAGATGGATCCTTCTCTCCTTACCCCCAAGAGATCAGGGGGATTGGAACATTATATACCTATATTGAGCCTTAAAACATCTTAAAACATCCTACAAACCCACCCATGATGGGCCAAGCTATTCTTGGCATCTCTTCCAGTCCCATCCGATGGTTCTTTCCTTACCGGACCGAGCGCGCTGACCGCTCCGAGCATCTCAGCATCGCTCGCACGTGTTCAGGAGCGGTCAAGGTTTTCGGTGAAGGAAGAAAAGAGGACTGAAAAGGACCGTGAGTGAGGTGGACCCCTTGGAAAACCCCTCCACTATAGGTCATTGTGAAAATGGCAGGCCATGTACTTCAACTGATCTGACTGGTGATCATTCGCCACTTTTGTCACGAGATCTGGCGAGGAGTCTGTGGTCTGTTTTTGGGGGAGGTGTTTTCACACCATGCCAGGAGTAACATGGAGTTGGGTGGCTTGGCTCGTCCCATCCAGGGGCCGTGGATGTGACAGGTTGTCCCCCGACTTCCTCCGTTCGTTCGGCACGCTGACATGTGACTTTGGGTGGCAGATCTGCCTTTTCTTCCCCTACACCTCCAGTCGTACCTCCTCAGGTTCGGTATGACTGGACCCGACCATGGCACCCACCCTAAGCGTCCCACCTTCGAAACGAAGGTACGACTGGAGGCCTTGCGTTCTGAATGTGCCGTTTTTTCAACAAAGTCCTGCCCATCTGGTGTAGATTGGAAGATCCAGGAGTGAAAACCTCATCGATTTGCCGGGATCTGGAATGTAAGGCAGATTAGATGGCTGTGAGTCAAACCTCACCCCGCAAACCGTGATTTCCGTTGACATGGTGATGAGAAGTTACGAGGTCAGAAACCAGCAGGCATATTGCACCAAGGTGCTGGGAAGAAAACACCAAGACCATCCAAGACCCCTGTTACGTGTCTCCTGTCTGTCTTCCTGTTCCAATGTCTTGCATGCAGATGCCATGCAGATGCCCCATGTCTTGCGATGCTCATAACTCCATGGCTGTTCAGAACACCACTTAGGTGGCTTAGGACAAACAAATGACTCAGATGTCTCAGAGCCAAACAAGTACTATTAAAATCATTTGAAAGAATACTAGTGGCTCCTTCCTGTACCTGTGCACCTTGCGTCATCCATTCCGGTCTTCATCGTATTCTTGAGGAACACCGTGTTCTTCCAATACGTGCACGAGCCGTACCGCAATGTGGACGTCGAGGCGTGTGCGTTTCATCGCGCCGTGTTTCACCCACTCGGAAGGCATTGGTTTTTGTGGGGGTCTTGGAGGGCAGCGTCAGTGGGTTCTTCCATGATCTCCCTGGGGATCCACTGCCACCGGTGGTCGTCACCTTTTTCGTCTGTCAGATCCAAGAGGCACAGAGTGTTCTCAACCGTCTAGACTTACTCCTGCCTCAGGATCCACTGGCACCTTCTCTGGCAGGTGTCTCCTGGACCCTCCTGAGTGTCTCCGTCCGCTCTCCCTGGATGGGGCAGTGGATCCAGACGGGTCTTGTCATGCTCTGAGAGAGGTTGGCCCACTGAAGACTGAAAGGTGCAGTGGTTCGAACCAGGATTGGTTGCGGCCACCTTGTTGTGGTTGTTGTTGATTAGCATCTTGAGTAGGTTGGACCGTTGGACCCATGTGTTTGCCTTCAATAACACAATCTCGACCATAGATACGGAGGCCTCCAGGATTGAGGGCCCCATCAGCTTTGGTGAATGTAGATGAATGTAATTAATTGAATGTAGCTGAGGTCTCTCCAAAGTACCCTGGGCGCTCAGTGCACAACCACCGTGGAGGGTTCTTTTCTTTGACCTCACATGTCCAAAACCTGTTCCTCACACCAAAACCCTGGCCTCTGAAGAAATCCCAAGTCCATTTCCAAAAGTAGGGGCCAGATTCAAACGGAGTCAAATTTGTAGGTCCCTGAGGTTTGGGCTGCTTCAACACGTCAAGGTGGATTAATTGTTTGAGAATCTGCACTCGCGGCACCAAATTCCCAAGGCTATTCATTGGTCTGAAAAAACTGATGCTCGTGTCTTCATCTCTGCAGTGTTGACGTTGGACAAGGCGTTCACAACGGTGAAGATGCCTTGATGTTGTGCAGTTCTTTTTAGCCTACAGGCCTTTGCTTGGTGAGTCTTTAATGTCGAGCCCCTCAGAACAGAAGTTAAGCTTCACGTAGCAGCTTCTTCAAGGTGCTCAAGTGGCAACATTCTCTTTCGATCGAATCAAGATTGCTTTACCTGGAATCGACCAGAATTCATGAATGAACCTGGTTGCTGCGCAGAGCTCGCTCACCTTGCAGCGCGCTCGCTGCGAGAGGTTGACTATATCGATGATGATGCATCTCGCTTGCAAAATGTTGGAAGGGTGGGCACCCACTGAAGTTGAATGTATCGCATGCTGGAAGTTCTGGAGCCTGGGAAGATGCTTCCGATCCCATTGTTTGTTGACCGCTGTTCGTGACCTGCACGCGGTTCACCGTGAGGACCTAGACCTAACTCACTGTGTGTTTGTGTTTTTTTTGGCTTTTGTTGCTCAGCAATCGGTCACATGCAAAACTTGTTGTGTTCCTTGGAGCTTGATCACCGAGGCGGCCTCAGATTGAAACATGATGAAAGGTCAAAATGTTCTTTTGTTCGTAGTTGGTTTTTGTTTGTGTTGTTTCGCTGCATGGATGGTTCGTTTACAAACAACAACCGTCCGGACCTGGGGATGTTTTGGCCGAAATGATCGATCTTAAACATTTTGCACAAATCGATTTCGTCGATCGAACCACACAGTGCAGTTGAAACATCCCAACAGATTTTTCTGGCACATGAGTTGTGCCAGTTGTTTGTAATTGATTTGATTCATGTATTGATTTGATTTGTGATTGATTTGATTTGGTGGTATTTTCGGGTCACTGTGGATCTACCACTGCTGATTCGGGTCGACGCCCGCGGATCGATGAGGCAGGGACCGCCTCGAGTTTGCTGCTGAGTGAGTCGTGGCTTGACACCTGACACGGCCCAGTGCTTCCACTTCGACGTCTAAGCTACACCATCCAAGTGGCTGCTTGGGATCCTTACGAACCAGGTGGCTGCTTAGGATCCTCTGGGTTTTGACACGACCCGTCTGGGACTGGCAGGACAGACCGAGTTTCACGGCCAGGGGTGGTTGTGCCAGGGGGGTCTGTCTGGGGCGGCAGTCCGTCCTATAGCAGTCCCAGATGGCGGTTGTGTCTGTGGATGGTGGAAAGCGGATGTTTTGACCCTCCCCGATGTCGTGAAACGCCAGCTCGTGCGGGTCGGGTGGATCAACTTGAGGACCAAGACTCAAGCTGAGGAGGGAACTGTTCGAGGATATTTGGAGCCATTGGAACATGTCAGGATGTTTTTTTTTTCATGGATTCACATCACAGGACCCCCAAGCACCAGGTGATTTCGGTTTTGCCCCAGAACCAGATGGTCGAGAGCCAATGGATGTTTATATATATATATGGTTTTACACTACACAACCAGGTCGTGCTCATTGATGTTTTTTTTCAACTCAAGGGAGGGCACGCACGTGCAAGTTGTTGTTATCCAACTTGAAGGGCTGATTGCAATTCTGGAGGGATCGACATCGAAAAAACACATATCATGAAATATCCATTCCCTATGGATCCAAGTACCCTCTGAGAAGGGGTTTGGAGGGTCCAAGTACCTTTTGAGGAGGTACTTGGATCCCTAGGGATTGGATTTGGATGGATTTGGCACCCTTTCTGGTGAGATTCTGGCGGGCCTTGTATACTTTGGGTCTGTCTTATTACTACCTGTGACAGTCAGTAAACAATTATCACTATTTTTGAACGACGCCTGCAACCCAACCATAATCGTAATCTTTTGTTACAGGGAATAATAGGATAGGATAGACTGCATGTCTTTGCATGAAGTACGAATTCTCTGCAGTTTTACCACTTCCATGGAACGTGGTCATTGGTATGAAGGGCAGAAACCAATAGGAAGTCAGAGCACGTCCTGCTAATTTTGACATCCGTCCACGATGAACAATGGGGTTAGTGATCAGACCTACTACTTCAACTTGGTGTTCAGATACTGAACAGAAACCTCAAGCTTTGGCCAGGGAGGTGCTTATAGGCATCCATCACTCCATCCATCGGATGCCGCTCCGTGCGTTCCAGTCATACAGGTCCAGTCAGCGACCCTATGAATCCACAGACCTTCCTAAATCTTGGACTCTGAAAACCACGGGTGCAGATAGAGGAATACAATCTTCCAGCATGGCTTTTGTTGGGTTTTAGGGTACGGTTTTTGCCCAACACACTCCTTGATGATTCATCCTGGAGTTGATAGAAAATAGAATTTCTTCACATATTAAGAACCAATCCGACCCCAAAAAACGACCAGTTTCCGACCCGTTGGCCTGACCCGTTGGCCTCGTTGTACCGATGACCCACACTCGTGGACGACCCAGCGGCGACTGCGGCGACAGCTACGCGCGACTCCGTTTCAGCAACGGTTTCGGTTCGTTCTCACAAGCATACCACATATCCCAGACACTCCATGTATGCCAGGTGGTCAGGTTGTCAGATATGGTCAGATCATACCCAGACACGACCCGTCTGGGACTGCCAGTCCGGACTGCCGCCCCAGAAAGACCCCTCTGGCACCACCACCCCTGGCCTGATCGGCAGTCCTATGGCATACCAGGACCCGACAGGATGGGGTGCCCTGTCTGGAAGCCGAACGGCCGGTAGTGTGGGGTAGTCCAGCCAGGACACCCCGACAGGAGGGTCCTGGTATATGCATGCATACCGCATACCTTCATGCATCACTGTGCACTTCCAGATGATATACATCACTTCGTGATTAATCACGTGTTGCACACCTTGGATTTCGACGTTTCATTGTATCTCCCAGAACCACTGCCCCTCCAGACACACCTCACGATGTTGGTGATGTACTATTTCGTTCTGACATAAGACACGAATTTCCTCCTTAGCTACAACATGCTACAACTCCAACATAGCGAAGGAACAACGCCATCCACACCATGAGGCCCTACAACATCTACTGCTTCGCCGAAGATGCCCGGGGACGAAGAAACACTCCCGAAAAGCGGCAGTCATGTCGACCGTTGATTCATAAAGCGGTGGGGCCTCGAGGGTCAACATTTAAATCAATGGTTTTATCGTTTGACATAGTGCCCTTGACTTGTTTGTAAAAGTAACACTTATTTAGATCAAGCCGGTCTTGGGTAGAAACAGTTTGCCACTCTACCCCTTGAGATGCTCGGAGAGAACCGTGCACAGAGGAGATTCTCCGGCTTTGATGGTTTTCGACTTCGGGTGGCAAGAGGAAGAGTTTCCCGCTTCAACCAGCAGTTGTTGCAGTCGTTGATTGAGATTCGATGCTCATGATTCAACCATTGTGCCGCACAGCACAGTGGTTTGCCATGTTTTCACTCACAGAAACTTGGTGATGATACTCCTTCTACTTGCATGTAACAGGGCCGCCTAAGAGAATCAGATGGATCGAATGATCATCCGTACTGAAAGTGCATCAAAGTGCTGCTGCCACCCAGCTGTGGCACCCCGGCGAACAGAATCGGTCATGTTCAGGCGCCAGGTTCGGTCATTTCCTACGAAGAAAACGGGACTCCCAAAGGCTCACGGACTGAAGAACCTTGCTGGCGCAATCCTACCAAGACCATCCATTCCCGTTCGCGCTCCAGGAGCATGACCTCCGAAACGGTAGGACTAGGACTGGACCCGAACATGGCACCCCCCTGCCCCCGTCGTCCCACCAAACCCAACACGAAGGCACTTCTGGAGCCCTTTGTATGCTTCTCTTGCCTGGACCAAGCTGTTTTTCCGCATCCCTACACTTGTCCCGAAAAACACCCAGGCTGGGACCCCCAGGCTGGGATCACCCCCCTAGCCGGCTGACCTTGGCAACCTCCTGCGACCCGGCGACTCGAGGACTGGAGCTTCCAAACGACCCTCTCAGGCCGGTTCCGCGGACCGCGGTGCCCCGACCGCGGAACCGACGCGGAACCCGCCGAACTTCCGTGTCGAAGGTCTCGCATCGTCGTGGGAAGAGTTGGAGACGCTTGAGACGCTTGAGACGCTGAAGAAGGAGCTGATACCTAGAACCTCATTAGACAAGAAGAAGAAGCCTCTAGAAGAGGTTCGAGGAATTTTGCATCTGGCATGGCATGTGAGCCATGCCAGAAAGCCTTTGGAAGTTTGCAAACTCAGTCATGATCTTGTATGATCTTGTCATATTTAAATCTTTGTCATAAGAGCTGAGGGCTGGGTGGGTAATTATATGGCAAACCCTGCGTCGTGCGTAAGCTTTTCAGCTTTGAGCTTAGCTTCGAGTATTCTGCTCGTACTTTACGGTGGTCCCTTCAGGTCAGTCACTGAAAGCCAGTGAGACTCGCGACGACATAAACATCCTCTTCGTTGAAGACCAGTGAAGCATGGACCAAATGTAACTATTTCGAGAGAATCCCCAGAGAATCACGTCTGAATCAAAACAACAAGCTCATCCCAACTTCGACGAAAGAAACCCACTATGAAGGACCCACACGCCGAACATGGTGGACTGCATCCTGCCCCTGTCTTTCTCCCTTGAGGTTTTATGATGTTTTATGTTTGTTTTTTCTTTTTCGGGTGGAAGGGGAGGGTGAGAACATCTACACCAGAAGCATACAAGAGAATGACCATTTTTCTCAGCAATAGATGGCAATTGAATGGAATAGACAGATGTATCCAGTATATTCCACTGGTGACTCAGTGACTTCCACTGACCGAACTTCGGTGCATGCGAACGTCCGGCTTTGTGCCAGTCGATAAGTCGCCCAATTGGCTCGCTGCCAACGTGCCGACGCCCAACATGACCGTGGGCCGGGATGCCTCAGTCAGTTCGGTGAGTGGGCAGAAGCAGCGCAAGACAGTCATGAGAAAGATATGAGAAGCAGGATGAAGCAGGTATAGAATTGGATGTCTTTTGTTTGGCTCTGCCGTGCAGGGAGCGCTGTACAGCTTTTTGGACACATCGGTTTGGTCCTTCATGCATTCTTCCTCCATTTCTTGGACTGAATCTTGAGCCACACACTCAGATATTCTGGTGCAAGGCCAGGATTGCATCCCTGTTGCTTTGGGTCAACATTTAAAGTTAGCTGTTGTTTGGTAGGATCGCATATGATTACAAGGAAAAGCCACTACCAGTTGCCAGAAATAGCATGAAAGATAGTATCAGCACCATTAAGTTTCATAGCATTAGCACCTAATCCGCAGTGATGCATGGCAGGACGCCGTGATCTCAACACGCCGAGCTTGGTTTCCTCCGGCTGGATCCACTTCTCGCGTACGTCGCTCGCTATGCATACTATGCGTAGCTCGCTGTTCCATCCCCATCCTCATGCCAGAACCAAACCTAACGGGCCTTCCGCTCCCTTCGTCTCCACCCGCCACGCTTCGCTCCTTCCGTTCGAACGACGAACTCGTGCCTTGCAAAGGCAATGGAAACGAAGTGAGCTTCATCGCAGTGGATGCCTTCATGGCCTCGGTGGGCCAGGTGCCGTTGGGGGACGGACCGCTGGGGATGGGTCACCAACCACTTCCGGATTTCCAGGGGTTCCACCTTACCACATCGGGTGACCCGTACCACATCGGTGGCCCCGTCACTTCTCCCATGTGACCCGTACGCACGGTGTTCGGCGCAAAAAAACGGCCACGTTGCCGCGCGCGCGTTAGACGAGACGAACGCCGCGCGACGGTGTTCGGAGCAGCGCGTTGTTCCTCGTGGTGTTCGGAGCGCCGCTTGGATCACAGGTGATCACCTTGGATCTGACTCCTCCGACCATCAACCCGGCTCGGGGCGCCCAGAGTGCAAAGAAACAGGCTGAAAAGGCACAGAGAGGGAACCATAGAGGGGCCTTTTGACATATTTTTTGATTAACTTAGACAACCCATATAGTAGGTATATACAACCCGCTCCAAGTCGGACATCATTGAAGGGAACAGTCCAGAAGTCTGTTTTTGCGACTTCTGAGTAGCTTTGCACCTTCTCCAGCACCACCGGATGGTCAACCAATGCTAGTGGGTGTCTAGGAGAGTCTAAACGATTTCGGTTGGTGCTGGCTTATGAGATCTTATGATGGGATGGTATGAGATCTTATGCTGGGATGGAGGGGGTTGTAAGTTTGAACAAAGGGAAGGAGCCAGGAAAACCTCTGGCTGCGGGAGGCTCACAATGGACGTCCATGCCCTATGGGTGAATCCCCTAAACTGGGCTCAGCTGGTCCAATCCATTTGTCCACATCTTGGGCTTTGCGCTAGGGTCCACCCAATAGGATTCTTGACCCACCATTGATTTTACTATAGCCTTTATCAAGCTACTTCTATCCCAGACGCGACCCACGGGACTGGCCTATGAAATCCGATCAGGCCAGCGGCCAGGGGTGGTGCCAGAGTCCATGGGGCTAAGCACTATATTCCAGTCCCATGCAGTGTTTGGGCTTTTGTTGTTGTTTTTTTTGTTTAATAGACCTGCTGCAGCTATTATTGGAAGTGTTGATTGGTTTTGCTTCCATTGTTAATTGGAGTGGTTCAGTCTTATATATCGTTCTTAAGACTGGACGATCTCGATCTGGGTCTACATCTTCACGAGTCCCTCACCGCCGACAGATCACCCTCAGCAGCGACGAGACCAACATCAACGTCACTGTCAGGCGCCAACGGCATGGGTAGCGGGGGACGGTGCGGTTGCCGCGCCGCGAGACAGATGCGTCGCTGGAGCATGTGACTGAACTTTGTTTGACATAATATGAGCCCTGACAGGCAACGGAAAGTGTGATTGCCCGCGACTGAAGTGCCTGACATCTGCCACATCTCCAAACCCGGATCCACATACCAAACCATCCAAACCTAGGTACCGGTGATGTGAGTGATGTGTTACTTCGCTGCTACGGCGCCAAGTACCAAACGTCGGGTCCTGGCTTCCCATACCTCGGTACGGATCCGTACAGATCCATCGGGTGGGTGTTTGGCAAAGCCAGACACCACGGAGAAAGGAGGTGAGAACAGAACACACCCGGTCCGGATTTTTGTTGGAGTCCAGTTAACCGGCTTGGTTCCAACTGTTTTTTTCTTTTGATGTAATTAGTTGCTTAATGATTGGTGTACAAACTACATGCACAAACGTCCATGGAGTGTTTTCCTCCTTTCTTGAGGTGCATCTACTACATATGTCCCTCCATGTTGTAAGATTGTCATTATAAAGCATCAACCATCCAGGTGTCAATTTCATCAAAGCATCCACCAGGTCGGCCGCATCCGCATCAACGATCCAGGAGAGTCTTCTATCCCAGTCCGACCCAGTGAAACATCAACCAGGTCATGCACATCCGCCCCATCGGTTCAATCGTTCAGATCGGATGCTGCCCAGTCTGACACCACACGACCACGGCACTTCTGTCCAGTCTGACTCAGGTCCGTCAAAAACCAGGCGAGTTCCTGACTCACCTCCCTTTTGGTGCTGACTTCTTAGTTCCCAACCTCCAGTATTTCAGGCTCCTCAGCTCCCAACCTCAGCCTTGGCTTCCCTAGCCGGTCTCGCGTAGCCGGTCTCGCCCTCGCGGTGCCGTCGCTCAGTTTGGACGAGACGGGGACGGTCCGGGTCGCCAGAAGGGGTCGGTCGCCGGCGCAAACAGCTGCAGTGATCGGCACTCCGCGCGGGGCATGGGATATCCGGTTGAGAGACCAGTTGGTTTTGTTGGAAGATTCAAGGCCTTTGAGTTGTGGGGTTTGGGGATCATGGTTTGTTGGATCGAATTTAGAAGTGGTTGATGTCCATTTCTATATACGTTTGGGGAGCCCAGGGCTCCAACTACATCCTGAGAAGCTGTTTGAGTGGAGGGCCAGTCCCATGCATGTGCATTTAGTGTTTGGGACTTGCGGCAGCACACCCAAACAACAGCGGTGACCATTCGAGACTGAGAAACAAGAGATTTGCTTCTTGGAAGACGACCGTGAGAATCTTGTACACCTCATGAATGATTCGCTATGGATGGATGAAAACTTCCCCAAGACCAGTCTTCGTGAGCCCAATCAATAGAGAAGCTGTGCTGTTTCTGTTTCTCGACCGACCCCAGCATGTGTTTTTCGGATTTTTCGGTGTGATCGCTCAAACTGCCTATAGACTCCAATCCAACCCAGATCGTTGGATGTTGCAACCGACGCTCGCTCTGCAGCGCGCCCAACGCTGCCAGGTTTGGTGTCAAGCGGTGCGGAAGGACTTCAATCCACCCACGATCCTCGAGATCTTGGCCCTTCGGCACCAGCGGCAGCGACGATGTTCCGCGCGGGTTGCGGTCACAAGGGGTGAGACACGATGCGTAGCGGGCGCAAACCCCAAAAGCTCGTGTCCCTCCCGCGTGGAAGCGCAAATAGAACAGGGATGCGCACAGAGGGGCACATGGGGACACAGTGTTGTTGCAGAGTCTTCGCAGATCCAACGGGCACCGTGTTGTCATTCATAGCACCCCTGCTGACCCTTGCGCCTAATCAATCAAAGTGTTTGCAATCACTCTCTCAGAGGGTGGATCCACAGGGTCCGGGATGACCAATCAATTCCTTGTCATGGATTTGCTGGAGCATGCTGGAACATGGATTTTGCTCCCCCATGCCAGCATACCCCCAGAGTGCACACATGCAGGAGTTCACATGAACACCTACTGGTCCTTCTCAACTGGTCCAGCTTGTTTGGATGGCACCATAGCAGCCGACCACCCGGACCTTCAGATGTTACCTCGGGGAACCGTCGGTGGGTTCCGGAACCCAGGACACCAACTACTACAGTGGTGACCTCAGTTTGGGTGGGAAACGACTTGGCAATCTAACCCATAGGGATCCAGTTGGCATCCCGGATTTGGACCCGAGAAAAGCTGAAATCACAGCTTTTCCGGGTTTGATGTTGTTGGGGTTTTGACATTTGGAGGATGTTCTCGGGCAACCGTATCAAGTCGCCTTCTTTTTTATCTTGTTTCGCCGCCGCGTTTTGATCTTCCGTTGGAGAATTGACCAGAACGTTTGACCTGGTCTGGTAGTTAGTGCCAAACCATGTCAAACCCTTAGAAAACAAAAAATCCTGGTTGTTTGCTTTTCAGGCCACTCAAACTACCTATAGGTGGACCAGGAATCGGGCTTAGACATCCCAAGGCGACGGAACTGTGGACCGTTTGACATCAGCCGCCCTGGCTGTTTCTCGGTCAATTTTTTTGCATGGAACCTGAATGACCTCTATTTTGGAACACCAACCACCCAAAAAATATGGCCTTTTCCTATCAAAACAGGGGTCAGTTGGGTTCCAGGTATATATAGATATACCAGGACACCCTAAGGGGGTGTCTATTGATAGCCCCTTAGAGGTGATTCGGGGTGTCCATTCACCACCCCGACTGTGGGTCCTAGGTGTGTATTGGAATCAGTTGACCTCCGTGGGATTTTATTGGAAGGAAGATAGACCATAACCCATTGGTGGAGGTTGCCCCTAAGAGGGGAAACCCATATGCCGCTCTTCAGACGGGTCGTGTTTAGACATGCTCAACGTATAGCTCCTGGCGCCAGACCTTCACAGTTTGGGCAAGTGCGGTGCGATCAGGTGTGTGCGGAGCAACGCACGACACATGCAGTTCAGCATGCAGCGGAGATTGTTTTTTTGTGCTTTTGATTCTGCTTTTGACTCTGCACATGCTGAAAATGCAACGTTTGTTTTTTTTGATGCCACGCAGTGCATGTTTACTTTTTCTTGCATCGGGGTTTGATGAACTGATGAACCTTAAACGATGTGGTTGGCAGGTGAGGCCCTGTTGTACTATGGACGCTACGTTGTTTTGTTTATCCCCTTTATGATATATTTGTGTGTTTTCCTCCTCCTCCTCCTCCTCGTCTTCTTCTTCTTGTTCTTCTTGTTCTTCGTGTTTGAAATGTATATCTTAATATCTTGTGTCTGTCAAGTTCCAAAGCAGCACATCTCGGCCCTGCAGCATGGCCGGTAAAAAAGCCCCAACTCCACGACTCCGTGGAATCCAATCGCCGAAAGAACTTCAGGTCACTATAGCGTGCGGAAAGCCCAGTGAGGGACTGCCAGGGACTGGGCACCGAACTGGCAACCTTGTTGTGCGGTATTCACCCGTTTGGAACAATTGTGAACATATTATTGGTATGAATATTACTATGAACAAAGGTCAACCTGTGTTTTTCTCAAAGGGAAACTCTGGGAGTATACATCCTTTTTCGAGGGCCTTTTCAGGCACCAGTCCCGACGACCTCGCCCTCGGCCGTCCAGCCCGGTAGGAACGGGGTTGGAACGAGAACCGCGCTGCACGAATGGGCGACGTGATGAAGCGACCATCGAACCGCAGCTGGAAGGAAGGTTTTGATGGGTTCAGAGGGGTCGGCCGAACAGTTTCCTGTTTTCATGGCACATAGCTATAATGCACATGTTGTAGTTCCCAGCCCAGACACGATAAGATCATATGCTGAAAATCAAGGTTAATTGGATTCTTTCAGGAGGTTTCACCCCCCTGCCCTTCGATTCACCCACGTTCACCACGGCATGCCTCGTGGAAATTGGCCGGGGGGCGCACGTCCCGCAGGGCAGTGATACGACGGTGGAGATCACTGGCTATGACAAGCCCATCAACTATGAGCCCAACTATGTCGGGAAACCCAGTAGGTTCAGGCCGAGCACTCGGCACACCAAAAGAAGGAGTTACTGTCAGGCATTCCCATCCAACACATTGCTTTCATGAAGAATGACAAGCGAAGAACTGTCGACAGTCGTTGGAAACCGGAGACACCGCCCACTTTCCAGCAGGATGTGGTGTGACAGAGTAGAAGAAAGGTACCTTGTCACCCAGTTGACCATCTCTTTTCGTCAATTCCAAGCTTGCTTGGTGTCATTGATTGGTACCGCTTGCTTACCCCCAAAAGCTCCACACCGGTCGGCCGGTGGCTTGCGCGCCGCGAGCAACGCAGGAGCGACCCTTGGTGTTAGGCACAGACTACGACGTCGCGGACGCCCAGTCTGGGTGGAGACTGGCGGAGATCCATTGGAGGCCCAGTATACCCCGTTTGGGCTCCTGGCCCATATCCTCAGAAGGTGGTTGGACCTCCCTGGATTCATTTCCGATCTCCTTTTGGACTCAACAAAAACAGGTGGAGTTCGTTTTTTCGTGCTGTTCCAAAGAAACGGAATTTGGGCACCAGATTCCGTGTTTGTTTTCCTTTCCGGGTTTTGCCAGAATCTTGTTCTTATGGACATGGCGATCTTGAGCTTGTCCTGCGCGGGTCCTTGGGCGCGTTGCCATTGTCATCCTTTGGGCATGTTCCACGAGGTCCAAGACGTGAACCGAAGCCCTGGACTTGATTGAAGCGCAGAAATCCAGGAGTTCGCAGCTTTCGCCCGAGTTCGCCTTCCAACAAGTTCAAGTTCAGCCCGAGTTCGCCAGCTGAGCCTCACCGACTAGTCCGCCACCCCGAGCACCGCTTTTGCTGACGAGATATCTGAAGCCTTCAGCATGACTCAGAAGGTGTAGAAGACCAACGATCACCTATTCCTGGGCTGGGGTGTCCAATGAAGACCCAAAGGTAGTGGCGTTATGTGTCGTTCATTGATGACCCCGGCGACATCGGACAGAATGACCAGCGCCGGCGCCATAGGCTGCCATAGGCTGGCATGACGGCATGACCCATATTCGACTTGCAGACATATCTCCAGCCCGGATCCAACAGCCGAGTGGGTTTCTCCGTCACACTGCAGTACAGGCCATGTGCGGTGCATGGTGGGTTCATGTTTATCTTCAACCTTCACTTGAGATCATTGATCCCACGGACACACGTAATTAAACCACCAACCAGATATGTTTCAAAGTTCACACCTTCCCGCTGTGCGGCCAAACAAGACATCATTCCAACGCCGACATCATTCCAAGACGCTGTGCGTTGCGTAAGCAGAACCGCACGGCACGTGTTGTCCTCTTCACTGAGTACAAAGATGCTCGGAATGTCGTGGACGGCGTGTCCAGCAGCAATGGCGAGATCAGCAGCCTTAGTGCCAAGAGGACCTTGCTTTGCAACATGTTTAGACACATGGCAAGGTAGAAACCATGCAGTTGCCTTAGAAACCACCTGAAGTCCAGGACCAGTGACGGAACCTGATATCCCAGGATTTTCAGTCATTCAAACAGGCCCATAGATCGAAGAGGTCACAGACAGAGACTCCAAAGAGGTCACGAACTTCCTGGCTCTCGCGGTATCATTATATATATATATAATATATTCTCGCTTTTTTCACAAGTTTAAGCCAATGACTTTTCAGAGTCTCTGGCACCCACTTCCACACGGCGCGGAGAGACCGCGCGGTCTCCGCACTCGATCCAGGACCGCTGCGTGGTCACCGGGCCGCCTTCACCCGCCGCGCCCGCCTTCGGCCGCTGCGTGCCGCGTTTGCGGCGGCCAGCGCGGCCGCGACGACGAGGGCGGCGACGAAGCGGATGCAAGGCGAAGGGCCCGGTGGGGTTTGCATCGGGTGGTTTTGGGTGATGCAGATAGTAGTGTCATTAGGGGCGAAACCAGCCAGGTGACCCCGACAGGAAGGTGCTGGTAGACACTTGTTGAAGAAGCCTCCCCTGAAGTGGCTTTGACAAGTTTTTTCCTGCATGTTTGGTCAGTGCACTTGTAGATTGATTGTGTAGCTGCCATGGCTGCTTTGTCCAAAGAACATCCACCAGGTCATGGTTTTCCTCATGGTGTTTCTTTGGTAGAGATGAGTCCTAACGTTGATGACATGCCAATTGCATGGCTCTTGGCTGGTGCGCTTGTCCCACATATCCGAATTGATTCCTGACCCCACAATCCAACTCCCAGCAAGTACCTTAGTGCCTTTTGCAGAGCACGAGGCTCGGGCAAGGTCCGGACTTCAGTTGTGGCAGATGAGCTCATATCAGTGCAACGGTGTCACGCTGAGCTCATATTGAAGCGCTTCCTTTTTTGTGTTAGTCCATCGAACTATTGGAATCACACTGCACACCTAAGATCCGCAGAACATGTCGAAATTCAATCCTGGTGGTTCCAGTGGTTTCCTCCTCTTGAACCAAAAAAAGGTACTCCTGGCCCACAAGGTTCAGGTAGAAACACAGTTTTTTCTGGCAAGCACCCACCACACACCAGCCCAAACCAGTGACTTTCCATGCATATGTGTAGCGATGGCGTCCAACCTAGTAGCGATGGCCTCCATCCTAGTAGCAATGGCCTCCAACCTACAATGGTTTCAGAGTAGATGGCACTGGCACCCCTACATGTCTTAGACAGATGGGGGTCCATATAAACCACCTCTTGGGGTCTGTGCCATCTACTCTCGATCCACTGTACTCAGGCCTTCTGCGGCGCATCGCCCAGTGCTCGGATGGTGTGGCACTGTTGCCGAACGCCAGGTGAGCGGGGAGTTGAGGGCGGAGTGAGCACGGAGGAGGGCGCTCAGTGCAGGTCTCAAAAACCTTTTTTTGGAGGGTTCGGAGGTGGTACATCAGGCATTCGAAAGGATAGATAGGCTGTGGATATGTCCAGGACTTCAACATGAAATATTCTGAAATATGTTAGACTTCGATTTCATCACCCTTAACTCTCACAAACAAAAATGAGCTACATCCTCACGAAATACCCAGAAGTGTGGTCAAGGAAATCCTTTAGAAAGGACAGACAAGGAAGCTGCTTTTTCACAAGGAAACAAGTAGACACAGACAGGGTCAAACAGGAAGTCCTTTAGAGAGCCCTCGCAAGTTCCGGTTCCGGGAAGTGTAAATTGAATATTGTTACTGTTGGCAGGTCAGGGGCAGTTAAGCAAAATTGACTGAACTGGGATAACTCGATTGGCCTTACTTGCCAGTGAAAGAGGACATGGTCTGATGGTCAATTTGTGTAGCCTGAGCAGTCGCAATTTGGAGGAACAGACAGATGGAAACCAGAACAAACCAGTTTGGGTATACTGCGAGGTATTCCTCGCCGCAATGCAGCTTAAACCATGTCTCCCCTCGGAGCTTGGTTCATTTGTTTTCCTGTGGCCTTGATTCTGACCATGGCTCAAGCCGGCATCCTTGCTTCTGAATCTCAATGATGCAGGTCACGGCTTTGTCCGGGACAACAGTTGCCCAGCTTGATCAGGATGAGTTCCTTCACATGGTGGAAAGTGGAAAATCCATTCGAGATCTAAAGCAACTCCTCTCCGCTCAGGTTGGGTGCTCCAGGTTTCAGCAAAGACTCTTCAGTGACGAAATCGAACTTCTGGATGACATGCCTTTGAGGCCACTACCGACTGTACTGCTGGTAATTCTGCCTTTCTGTGTTTCTGATGAGATTGCGGAGGAAGAACTACTACGCAGCTGCAAAGAAAATAACATTATTGCGCTTGAAAGACTGCTTCAAAAGCCGCTGGACCCAAATGGAGGAGGTTTGTTTGTTGCAGCTAAGCGTGGCCACTTGGAAGTCGTGCGATTGTTGCTCGAAGCTGGAGCTCAAACTGACGCACATGCAGCAAACAGAAATGGGGCAACAGCTTTGATGATCGCAGCTGAGAATGGCCACTTGGATGTTATGCAATTGTTGCTCAAGGCTGGAGCCGACAAAGATTCAGCTACGGCTGGTGGGGCAACGGCTTTGATGCTTGCAGCTCAGAACGGCCACAGCGAAGTCGTACGAGTCTTGCTGGAAGCTGGCGCTGACAAAGAGGCAGCAACGACAGCTGAACCAGCTGGCCAAACTGCTTTGTTTGCTGCATCCCTGAACGGCCACTTGGAGGTTGTGCGTTTGTTGCTGGAAGCTGGAGCTGACAAAGATGCAGCTACGACAGACGGGCAAACTGCTTTGTTTGCTGCATCCTTGAACCACGACCCGGACGTTCTGCGCTTGCTATTGGAAGCCGGAGCTGGCAAAGATGCAGCCACGAGGGAAGAGCAAACAGCCTTGTTCGGCGGTGACTTGGACGTTCAAGACTTGTTGTCCAGACGCGGGTCGTTTACGGCCAAATGTTGTTCTGTTTCGTAGTGAGGTCCACGAAAGCGAAAGCGGTGCTCACATATCCGCGGATTGGCCAGCTTGGATCGGAAAAGTGTGGGTTTGGGATGAAGGTGGGAAGAAGCCATAGGGATCCAAGTCCAGCGGACGAAGGAGCATAGGATCCAGCCTCTTGGTTTCAGGTCTTGTGACAAGTCATTCAGAAGGCCTGATAGATGTGGTCCAAGAATTCCGCTTTCAGTTTGAGCAGATCGACATCGTGGAATGGAGTTGACATGAGTAGACTGACTTACTTCTCCGAGGATTTTCTAGAGCCGCAAAGAACAGGGACTGCGCAGCGTCCTTCTTGACTCGATACATCGATATACCCAGACACGACCCATGTCTGTCATATATGCCGATCAAGCCAGACCCCTCAAACTCAAACCACCACCCCAACTCATCGGATTTCATATGCCAGTTTGATGGAGTGATTGGGATATGTTTAAGGGATGTTGAACATCACAAATCAGAATTGAACTTTGTCTCAAGCGAAGGAACGCTCTCATGTGACCCTCATTATAAACCAACCATCCCAATCTTGGCCATGTGACGAGATCCCATAACCGACAGAACTGGGCAGAGAGGTTGAGGAGTATAAATACTTGCTGAGACCTGTTGTGAATCGCGTGCAGACTGCGCTTGCAATACTACAAAGCTTACAGAACACCACTTAAGAGGAGGAAACAGGTGCCCATGATCCACCAAAACCCTCACATCCGCCTGCTCAGCAACTGGTCCAATCACCCAAATCCTGCTGAAGAGAACGTCACCTCCCCCTAAGGGAGTCCAACCTCTACGACTCTACCCCCCCCCCCCCAGGTTCCTCGTCATGCGCCGGTTCCACGCGACAAACGCCACGTGCGGTGCAGGCCTTTCCGCGTGGAGGGCGAAGCTTTGGGCCTGGCCTCTTGGGCGTTAGACCAGCGACCGGCCGACAACCGACCCTTTCGGGCGGAGCT